TGTTAATGACAACAGTCCAGAGATTATGATGACCACTCTTTCTAGCTCAGTACAAGAAGATGCACCCATAGGAACAGTCATTGCACTTATTCAAGCAAAGGACAATGATTCTGAGGAAAATGGGCAAGTTCACTTAGAGATTCCAAGACATGTGCCATTTAAATTGGTGTCTTCATTTAAAGGACATTATTCACTAGTGACTAATGGCCCACTTGATCGAGAGAAGACTGCTGGATACAGTATCACAATTAAAGCAACAGATTCTGGAATACCTCAAAAGTCAACTGAGAAAAATATATTAATTCAAGTTTCAGATATCAATGACAATGCACCCACTTTCTCCATCCCTTCCTACACAGCCCATGTGGAGGAAAATACATCTCCTGGAACTCTAGTCTTTTCTGTGTCAGCCTGTGATCCAGATGTAGGTGTCAATTCCAAGCTATCTTATTCCATTGTGGATACCGGAAATCATGGCTTGCCTATCTCAACCTATTTCCACATCAATCAAGAGAATGGCAGTATTTACACCTCCAGGGTTCTAGATTATGAGCAAGAAAAAGTCTTTCAAGTTTCAGTAGAGGTGAAGGATTCAGGTTTCCCACCACTAAGCAGCACAAGCATTCTTCATCTGTTCATAGTGGATCAAAATGATAATGCACCTGTAATTGTACACCCAGAAGTTCCCAAAGGTTCTGCCTTTCATCAGTCACTTCTAATCCCAGTGGAACCTGGATATCTGGTGACTAAAGTAGTGGCTGTGGATGCTGACAGTGGCCATAATGCATGGGTTTCGTACCATTTACTCTATGAGACAAATGAGGTGAATACTTTCAAAGTAGAAGACCACTCAGGAGAGATCCGTGTCACTCGGACACTGAGGGAACCTGGGGTTTCTCACCGGTTGGTGGTAGAAGTGAAGGACAATGGGGTGCCATCTCTTTCAGCATCATTGATTCTAATAATCTCCTCAGAGGATAATGCTGCACAGGACTTTACCAAATCCTTGGACCTTCTCCCCAAGTCACCTGCCAGGGCTCAGAATTTAACTCTTTATCTTATCATTTCTCTAGTGGCTATCTCTCTAGTGTCTTGTGTAATGATGATTATTGTAGGAGCCAGGTGCTTCAAGTCTGGCTTCTGTATCCCGAACTGGATCATATCACGCTGGTGTAGTAGGAGGACAGACCGAAAATCTACCATAAATATCAGTGGGTATCCAAATCCAGAAGGCTTTATAAGATACCTTGAAGTGAGTGGAGCTGGAGCTCAGAACTACAAGTCTTGTTTCTCCCCTATGTCTGAGCAGGGAGATTTCTTTTTTGTTAAACCTTTCAGTCATTCCACTACAGCAGAAAGCATTCTTGCCTTTGAACATACAGGCAGTGCTTTGCAGAACCCCTCTGATGCGGTAAGATACACCAAGACAATGCTGGAACATTATATAAATATATATCTATAGGGATATATGAATATTTGCAGTCTATATTTAACAGAAACTCTGCCATGAACTTTTATTTCACCTGAAGATATCATCTTCATGAATAGGGAATAGTTTTGTACTGTTTTTTGCAAGTGATTTTGGATGCTTTTTATAAATAACCTGTTTTGCCATTTGTCTCCACATTGACAACTGCCTTTGCTCCTCAATGAGACATCTGTATTAAAAGAGAATGAAGTTTGTTTTGTCAGTGATCCTGGTCTTGGTAACTGCTATTTTGATTCTTTTACAGGTAGTCCTTGATTTATGACCACGTTTGGTGCAGGAATTTCTATTACTAAGGGATGTGGTAGTTAAGTGACTCACACCCAACTTTACTACCTTTTTGCAGTGTTTGTAAAGCAAATCACAGGATCATTAGGCAAACCCAACTTGTTCCATTGACTTTACTTGTTGGAAGATGGCTGGGAAGGTTGCAAGTAGCAATCACATGATCCTGGGATGCTGCAACCATCTTAAGTACATGCCAGTTGCCAAGTGCCCAAATTGTGATCACGTGACCCCAGGGATGCTGCAATGGTCATAAGTATGAGGACCAGTCATAAATCATTTTTTTCAGCACTATTTTAACTTTGAATGGTCACTAAACAAATATCGTAAGTCAAGGACTACCTGCATTCTTAGTGCAGCTAAATAAGTTTAAAAACAGAAATCAAATCTAGAAAATTCAGTAAACTGATTAAAATTAACAATAAAAAAGTATTAAAATAATCCAATGGATTGTTTGCCCTTTAATAGAAAGTTCTTGGTGTTGTTACTGTGTCAAGAAGGCTTCAGTGTCAATTTAGATAAGGAACAGGTAGTAAATTTATTGATGAATAAAAATTAGCAGATGACATTGAGATAAAGTTCCTTCAGTTATCAGTTACCTGTACAGCAAATGGTTGGGAGAAAAGTACTGGACAGATTTAACTGTTAACTAAATTTAACTACCTTAACTTCATTTCAGACTAAAACAAGCAAAACATTTTATAAAACCTATTCGGGAGTGCAAAACAAAAGTTTCAGGAACACTGTTTCCTGCTGAATATTAGAAAAACTTCCTAACCAGAAGTCCAGTTCAATATTAGAGGCTAGGCAGCCATCTTTCAAGGAGGCTTTAATTTGGATTCCTGGACTGAATGGAATGCAGTGACCTAAATGACCCTTTCCCAGTCTATTGGTTGGTTCCCTGAAAGAATACTGTGGGATAGGTATTTATTTCCTTGCTTCCAGTTGGAGATTTGCAAATATGCCTGATGCTTCATTTTTAGCAAGGGGTTGTGATTTCTAAAGTTTTGCTGATTTCATAAAATGCTGTCTCATCTTTCTCACATTGCTAGAACTCTATATGATTGTTAAGCAGTATTCAGAATAATCATTGTTACAAAATTTTAATGCTTACTGTTCATTATACAAACATACAAAATTATTTATCCAAAGAAATTCAGGAACCTGGTCTCAAGACAGGCCAAATATCTTCCTTTTGCTTTTGAGTCTATTTCTTTAAAATTGCCTTCTGAATCTACTTTATGAGACTTTATCCCATATTCAGGGATAACAGTTTTATCCTCGGGGGAAGATGGTTGCTTATTTTAGGGTAGCCATTTTCACTGTTAAAATGACCATCCATGAGTCCACACAAACCTCCACGTCACATTGTTATTTGCTGCCAAATTTCACTGCTATAGAACTGGAATCCACAGTTTGGTTTAGGTCTACAAATTACATGCTATTGCTTTAAAGAAAGAATTGCAAATTCTATGAACTTTATTTTCCTGAACAGATTCCAGGTAGCCTTTAAGTTGTTTTATTATTTTATGTATTGGCTATATAGTGCTATATAGGCATTTCTTTAAAAAAAAAACTTTAAAAGAAGTTTTACATTTATTTATTTATTTATTTATTGGTTTGATTTATATGCCGCCCTTCTCCGGAGACTCAGGGCGACTTACAATGCGTTAAGCAATAGCCTTCATACTTTTTGTATATACCTGCTTAGTAGGGCTTTTGGGACCCTCCTAAGGGGTGTTCTTTTTTATACAAAGTCAGCTTATTGCCCCCAGAAACCGGGTCCTCATTTTACCTACCTCGAAAGGATGGAAGGCTGAGTCAACCTTGAGCCTGGTGAGATTTGAACTTGCAGTAATTGCAGGCAGCTGATGTTACTTAACAGTACATTAGTCTGCTGCGCCACCAAGTAGTGGTGGTATGAAATAATATATACACGATCTTAATTGTTATGGCATCAGAGGGAATTCTTCAAAAACTGACAAATAAAACTATATCCATTAGGGCTGTGCCCACTTAGAATTGGTTAGAAATGGTGTTTTAGAACTTGTAGAAGCACTGGTGTCTGGCTTTCATGAAAAAAAGCCTGACTTTTTTCAGTGAGACAGAAAAAAGATGCTTCTGCTGCTTTCAGAAAACCATTTAAGTTTTGTTTTGTGTCTTTGTGTTGACTCCTGAGGACTGCTGAAGCAAATCCCTGAAGTTATCTTGGCAAAACTTTCAGAAGTTTCACTCTGTGATTAATATATTGGATATCTTTTAATAATGTGGTGGGTATGTTGAGCATTATTACAAGTAGTCCCTACTTAGCAACTACTCCTTCAGCAACCATTTGATGTTAAAATGGTGCTGAAAAAGAAGACTTATGACCAGTCCTTGAAGTTGTGGCTGTCACAGAATCCCTATGGTCATGTGATCACAATACGGGGGCCTGGCAACTAACATGATGGTTGCCATATCCCAGGGTCTGGTGATTGTTATTTGCAACATTGATTGTGACCTTTCCATCAGACAAGCAAAGTCAATGGGAAGCTGGCAGGAAGTCACAAGTCGTGATCACATGACATCATGCTTAACCTGAAGTAATTTGCTTAATGACTGCAGCTGGAATTGATGAACTAACATCATTAGTTAAGTGCAGTCATATGATGTTTCAGTTTACAACCATATCATTTAGTGATGGAGCTGAGGGTCCCAATTGTAGTTGGTAAGTGAGGACTACCTCTACATACTTCAAGTTTCTATTGAATCTCCCCCCCTTCCCCCGCTGCTCTTTTTTTCTGTACCCATCCACATTCTATTGGAAAAAGTGTAGTGAAACAATTCTCTTTCAGGATCAATCTTCCCCTAATCATTATTGGTGATATTCAATTATGCTTTTTCAGGTTTGTTTCATGTTTTATTTCATCTATATATTTTTATGCAGTACAATTTTTGTGAATGATTTTTCTAGTAGATTACAGAATATTTCCGATTGTGGTGATATTGAAGTGCTGTTGAATAAACAAGCAAACATTTTTAAGCAGATTATTTAATCATGCATTCCTGTTTGGAAATAGCTTGAAAATGTCATTGTATACTTGTGCATATTGTTTATAATTCAAACTTTCAAAGCATAAACTAACCATATGTTACAGTTTATGTTTAATATTCTGTAGTAATAATGAGGATGCTGTGCTTAAATTGAAAAATAGAAATTTGTTCCTCTTTATGTTTGTTTGTTTTTCAGCAAGCACAACCTAACACAGACTGGCGTTTTTCTCAGGCTCAGAGACCAGGAACTAGTGGGTAAGTTGGTTTACACAGATAAGGTACTCTATAAATGGATGTTACTTTTGTGCTATAAAAGTGCATGAAAATATCTTGGGAAGTAGTAGACTTTTCTAGATCTTTATCAATTGGAACATGCTGGAATATGTACGAAGATTAAAGTGTGAAGTCTGGTTCTTATGTAAACTCATTTTTGCATGGCCCCAAAATAGCATGCATATATATATTCCAAAAATATTCCAATATGTTTTCTACGTATAGATACAAAAATGAAGCTAAAATTGTTTAACATATTTCACTAATGAACAGTAAGAAATAAAATAGAAAACTACATTTTGTTATTTGCCAGTTCAAACTGTATTAGTAACATTCACATGCAAAATTTCAGATATTTTGTTCCTTTCAGAGAGATATGATAGAAAAATATAGTCTAAAAAATGAAAACTCTAGTGGTTGGAGGAGGGGCCTCAGATTCTGAATGCAAATTTTGTTGCCTTGACCACAACCCAATTTTTCCTCTCTTGCTTCCAGCTTTGGGTTGGAAGTGAACTTTGAGATCTAAGGTCACCTGTTCAGTGCAGACATTCCTTTCTGTAGCTTCTTCTAATGAAAGAATGTCACTGCTTCCATAGGTTGTCTCTTCCATTCTTGAACAACCCTAACTTCTATAATATTTTTTTGATATCCAGCCACAATCTACTTTTTTTAAAAAAAATTGATTTATATGCCGCCCTTCTCCGGAGACTCAGGGCGGCTTACAATGCGTTAAGCAATAGCCTTCATACTTTTGTATATTTATACAAAGTCAGCTTATTGCCCCCACAAACTGGGTCCTCATTTAACCTACCTTAGAAAGGATGGAAGGCTGAGTCAACCTTGAGCCTGGTAAGATTCGAACCTGCAGTAATTGCAGGCAGCTGTGTTAATAACAGGGTGCTACTTTGTTATAATTTATACTACTGTTTCGTTTGTTGCCTTTTGGAAAACTCTGAACAGTTCTGTCCCATCTTCTACATGAAAACCCATTTTGTATGTTTGGTCTCAGTCAAAATATAATAATAGATTGAAGATTTTTTTCTTATAGTCCTGGAACACTTGGTTCTCAGATTTCCTTGTTACCAGCAGGGCTAGTTTTTTTGCTTTTCTACTTGTCCATATCTAGTTCTTTTACTCGGGCCAGTGGAAACCATATATATTTTAGAGAGAGTTATTGTTATATTAACTAATAAATTGAACAGCACTCTGATCTTCCTGGTTCAGAATTCATCTCTGCTATTCTTTTAGGGGTTGGTCTTCTTACTTGCAATCCTGAGATAGTAAAACTGATTTATCCCAAAGGTACTGTACTTTTTCCAATAGGCAACTGGACTTTCTTTTCTTTTTTTCTTTAAAAACATTAAGCTTTTCATCCGAGAAACTTATTCAGTTCTACCTGAATGGTGAGGAATGGAAAGATTTATATAAATATTCCCCACCAGTCAGTTAGAAATGAAGACGCTTCTTGGATGAGAAGTGTAATATTTTTAAAACAAACCCAAGAAAGTCCAATTGCTTTTTGGAAAAAGCATTTTTGGGACAACCATGACCTGGATATTTGAGAATCTCCATAGACATAACACTGATTTACTTTGTATCAAAAGGGGGATTTGTAGCTCTGCGGTTTTTGTTAAACAGTTTCCAGCATTCTTTTGAAAATGGCCAAGCTGGCTGGGGCTGTTGCTTACTTTGAGCAAAATTGGAAGGACTACAAGTTCCTTATTTCTACTCCATTACCACTGTAAGAATATAATCTGATAAATATATTCAGTGCTTTGAATATTTGAACATACTACAGAAATGCTAAGTATACATTAGTATACATAAACTGTTTCTGTACCCTGGATTTTAATAAATAAAAATATTTTGGCTTTAGTTGGAAAGTTCATTTTACATATTTTATTATGATCTTACATATGTAAATTTATATGTACCAGTATATGTAATATACAATCTATTTCTGTTATTTAAACAGAAATCTTTTCAGAAATATGTTTCAACTGCTTTAAAAGCAAAACCATGAGGAATAGAATATGCAAAAGAAATGTAAATAACTTAATGTAGAAATTGCCTATATCAGAAGTTTAACATGTGTCTCCAACGTATTTATTTAACAACTGCATATTTAACAACTACTTGGCAATCAGAAATTCAATAGTTTAACCTTTTCCCTCCCACTTCTGGATGAGAAACATATTTGTGTGCTTGAAAAGGGGTCAGATGAAACTTTTCTCAATTACACAGGTATGATGAGAAGTATTGGCTTTATCTGCTTATTCCTTTTTGTCCTACATTAGTTAAAGCTATCCATAAGAATCATGAAACTCTGAGGCACAGCAGAAGAATTTGGAATAGATTTTCTTTTATCTAGGTTAGAACATAGCCATTTGAACTTTCTCTTTTCCCCATTTGAGCCTTTATCAATTTGAAATTCTAAATTCTTCCTTTGGAATTTTGAAACACTGTAGATAATGGTACTGTAATAGATGTATAAAAGTTAAACTTCTTTTTTAAAAAACTTAATATTTTTCATTGTTTATGTAGAATACAATGATGTGAAGGGAACAGAAATACTCAGAGCCCTCAAAAGTGATTTTCTCACCCAAAAAGGGAGAAATAGCCCAACCTCTTAAAGCAGCACCAAAGGAGATAGAACAGGTATGCAAGTCAAAATAGGCAAGGAATTACTAAGAGCACATTATCCACCCTGAATGAGTACAAATCACCTGGACCAAATGGTTTATATCCAAGGATTCTGAAGGAGCTGGCAAATGTGATCTTGGAACGACTGAATGAAATCTTTCAGAGCTTCTGTAGCACAGAGAAACTATCAGAAGACTGAAAAAGAGCTGATGTGGTTCCAACCTACAAAAAGGGGAAAAACATAGATCAGAAAACTATAGGCAGATCAGCTTTACATCAATACCTGGGAAAATCCTGAAAAGATAATCAAGTGGTGGATTTGTGAGCAGGGAACTAGGTATGTCTAACCTATCAAAGAGAAGAATTAGGGATAACATGATAGCTGTTTTCCAGTACTTGAGGAGCTGTCACAGAGGGGGCTTTTTTTTTCCAAAGTATCTGTGGGCAGGCCAAGAAGTACTGTAATGGGTGGAAGCTTGTTAAAGAAAAAGCCAACCTAGAACCAAGGAAAAGTTGCCTGACAGTGAGAGCAGTTAATCAATGGAACAGCTTGCCTCCCAAAGTTGTAGGTGCTCCATTGCTGGAGGTTTTCAGGAATGGACCGGGCAACTATTTGGTTTGGATGATATAAGTAGTTCTCGGATTACTGCCATTCATTTAATGATCATTCAAAGTTATAACGGCACTGAAAAAAGTGACTTATGACCATTTTTCACACTTACGATTGTTACATCATTCCCATGGTTGGGTGATCAACATTTGGATACTTGACAACTTAACAACTGTGTAACTAACTTAACACAGTGATTCATTTAACATTTGTGGCAAGAAAGGTCATAAAAATAACTCACTTAACAACTGTCTAGCAACAGAATTTTGGGGCTCAATTGTGGTAGTAAGCCGAAGACTACCTGTATAAGTTCTCCTGCCTTGAACAGGGGGGTTGGATTCGAAGACCTTCCAGGTCCCTTCCAGCCCTATAATTCTATAATTCTTACAGTCAAGCAATTTAATTTAATTTAATTAATTTAATTTAATTTAATTAATCATATTTCTATGCCGCCCAACTCCCAAGGGACTCTGAGTGGCTTACAACAGAAATAATACAAACAGTGAACATAATTTAAAAAAAAAAAACATTATAAAAGCATTTTAAAAACATTAAAAACGCATGCACACCATCCATGGCTGGATCTCGCAAGATTGAACAGCGAGATCAATGGCCCCAGGCCTGCCGGAAGCAATAGTTTATTCCTGATTTCTCCAGCATCACAATGACTTGAAGGAGGCAAATCTTCAGTTATTTCAATAGCTCCTTGACACAGTCACATTGTCACCAACCCATCCCTCTGTTAATTCAAAATATAGATATGCTATGTAGATAATAAATTCATCATAGCAGAAAAGAACAATTAGAATACACATAACATCTAATAAACAGCATTCATAGAATATTTATAGAATCAAGTTCAGAAAACAAGAAAACAAAAAATCCCCTTCCCTAAACATTCTCATTAGCAGACAAACCACAGGCTTCACTGAAGATCGACTCACAAAAAGTCAAATCTTCTATAGTATAAAAACAGCAAAAAGAACAAGTTGACTAAGGCCTACAAAATCAGAAATAAAATATTATAAGACACCCATTATAAAATATTATAAAACACCCATGTATTACACTGTATTATAATACAGTGGATTATACTTTCATTTTGTTGCATCCTGGCTGAGTCTTGAGTTTGGAGATCCCGTCAGAATCCTTTTAATCTATTTGGATTTGAAACTGTGTAGTGAAGTATAGGTTACTTCATTTTAGAAGTTTATTGTATTTCAATTTTGGTATTTTTAGTAGGTTTGTTTATTTATAACTTTTATAGGCTGCCAAATTGTACCTCAAGGTTTGGTGAGTTGTGGAGTAATTTTGTTATTGTCTCTAATTTGGGTCAGTTGATGTGAAAAGAGTAATGATACCACACTTTACTTCTTTTCAGTTGTAAAGTCATTTACTCTTGTAAGATTTTGTACTTTACTGCACCCTTATACTAGATGTTTTAAGTTTCTTGGTCTGTATAAGTTTATATAGAGATTTCTTCTTTTTCTTTTTCTTACTCCTCATCCAGCATTCATGGCAATATTTACCATTGCAAAGAGCATTATCTTATCTATTCTATCTTGGCTATTTTATCTTGGCTGTTCACCGCCCTGAGTCCTCCAGGAGTAGGGCGGTATAGAAATTTGATAAATAAATAAATAAATAAATAAATAAATAAATAAATAAATAAATAAATAAATTCTGATTTTTATTGTCTTGTAATATCCTTATCTTTCACAATCTTGTC